AGAAAATAAAGACACTATTAATACAAATGCAGATAAATTTCTCCAAAAACTGTGAGACAAGGCAATGCAGGGAGAAACACACGATGTACAAGGTAACCAAGGCATAAAAGAGCCTCATAGTTTTGAAGAATGACAGAGTAGGATGCAGCTGGAGAAGAGCATTCAAGATTTGGGTGGGAGTCAGTATTAGAGCTAAGCACTTCGCAAAGAAATCTGGATCTTATCTCAAAGCAATGGAGTGGCCCTAAAGGCTGCATGATTAGATGTATTGGTTAAGAGACAGCGTTTCTCTCTCTTTGAGGCATCCCATGTAAAGCGACCCAGTTAAAACAGCACAGCTTTTCTTAGCATTACTTTCAGAGGAGCTCCTTTGAACTGTTTATTTGCTCTCCATCTGGTGCCCAGGTAAATGCTTTAGATGTTTTCCTTTTAAAAATATTCAATGTATTAATTTCACACATGAGGAGAAATCATATTAAACCTCACTACATAATTAGCCAAACCATAAATACATTTTCAGAAACAAAGATGACTCATGTTGTTTCCTAATTAAACCTTGAAAGGTTTAATTAAAATGCATAATATGGAGAAAACTAGTTTAGAAAGAATTGGGGCTTAGCTTCCTGAATGTGTACACAGAGAGCTTCCCTGTTCCACCCCCATCAAGAGAGGAGGAACAGACGTGTAAACGACATAAGCAGTCCTTTACAGGGGATAGGCAGTGTTTCTATCATGCGTGGCACGCTGTCTCAGAGACAAGGGAGCTGGTTAATGGGAAGGAGGAGCATTTTAAGGAAACAAAGCATTCTAATCCTGTGCATTAGACCCAGGGAACACAACAGTGCACTGGCAACACGGCAAAATAACCACCATAGTAGAACATTTAAGGAGTGGTTACTGTATGTCTGGCACTATGCTGATTGCTTTGTATACAGTGATTCCTTAAAACCACTCTGAAGTAGGGGATATCATGCACATTTTTCCAATAGGAAAACTGAGGGCACAGAGGCAAGAGGCAGAGCTAAGACAGCTGGTCTGACCTCAAGGCCATGCCTCCATCACATCCAAGTCCCCCCTGGAAATCAGTGAGAAACCAGTGAGCCCTGGAGCCCAACATACGCAGGGGAAATCCAGGTGCTTTCTAGTTGTGAGATTTCTAGCCCCAGTTCCTCATCCATAAAATGGGGTAAAAAGACAGTGGTAGGTAGTGGTGAGGTTTGAATAAAATAACGCCTGTGAACCTGACAAGGGTAAGCTTGTCATGGATATCACTTGTTAACGCTTCTTTCACTGGTGCCGTCATCATCAACATCAAAGTCAGTGCGTCCCAGCAGATTTTATGTCAGGTTATTTAGAAGCACCGTGGGTTAGCTCAGAGGCTAATCAGATTGAAGAGAAGTAGAGTATTAAGTCTGTCTTGCAAATTTTTCTAGTTAAAAAAATCATTTATACTAAATATAACTTCTGCAATACACGTTCTTTTCTTGCAAACAATGTTGTCAGTGCCTTGCTTCAAACCATGGGAAGGGATTTAAGAATTTGTTTAAACATCTTTGCCTTGGCTCCCGGTGGGGCCCTGCAGGATTCTGGCCTGCTTACCTTGTCTTGCACCATTCTTTCTTTCTAAGGACGCCCTGGCACAATGGCCACTCTTCTGTTTCTCAGCCAAGTACTTGCTCTATGCCAGGCTCTGCACAGAGCATCAATATGGGGATGATCTCCTTTAATCCTCACAACAGCCTTATGGCAGCAGGGGATTTGGGGAGGGGAGGGGGTTCCTGGTGTTATCTGTGCTTCACAGTTGTGGAAATTGAGGCCCAGGAAGGTTAATTAACCAGACTAAAATGATGTAGTTAATATAAGTGGCAAGCTGCAATTCAAACCCAGGCACTCTTTTTTTTTTTTTTTTTTTGAGACGGAGTTTCGCTCTTGTTACCCAGGCTGGAGTGCAATGGCATGATCTCGGCTTACCACAACCTCCATCTCCTGGGTTCAGGCAATTCTCCTGCCTCAGCCTCCTGAGTAGCTGGGATTACAGGCACGCGCCACCATGCCCAGCTAATTTTTTGTATTTTTAGTAGAGACGGGGTTTCACCATGTTGACCAGGATGGTCTCGATCTCTTGACCTCGTGATCCACCCGCCTCGGCCTCCCAAAGTGCTGGGATTACAGGCTTGAGCCACCGCGCCCGGCCAAACCCAGGCACTCTTGAATTACAGTCCAAACACTTAAACTTTACACAATATAGCATCTCCCACTCTCATCTTGTCTGGCAACTCATAACAGCTCCAGGTAAATGCACATTGAATGAAGGAAAGATTGATGATGATGAAATGACAACATGGATTACTCACTCAGGATGCGGAAAAGCCAGTATAATGAGCAAACCAAGTCTGACCGAAAAAGACCATTTGCAAACCCTAAAGGTGCAAATGTAACAAGTTCACCTTTCTTTTCAGTTGTGCCCTGCATACTCCTCGTTGAGTTTGAAGCCTGACTTCAGCAACCAAATTACCCTTTGCTGATTAGTTTCCACCAGCCTTAAAGGCTATCATCTCCTGTCCTTTCCACTTACTCTAGAGTCAATTTATAATAATTGCATTGAACTTAGTCTTCATTATTCATCTTACCTATTTCCTACCTCCTCCTTTCCATTATTATTTCTTAATTAATTTTAGGACCAAGACAAGTGGCAAGCCATATGATGACTGACCAGACACGTTAGAAAGAATGGAAGATGCTTTCCTGCAGCTTTGCTACTCTGGAGGTGGAATGAATTGTGCCAAATGTCAACTTTCATGGCTCAATGAGCCTTTTCCTGAGCCTGTCAACAGTGAACTATAAGAAATACAATCTCTCTCTCTCTCCAGTCAACAGCAGAACAGTGCTTGCACTCCTAGTATTTATGGATGTGTATATGCAGTTCTCACAAACCTCACACCAGTGGCCTGGGATCAACTCAGACAGGCGGTAAAGAAAAACAAAATGATTCTTTGAAAGGATGCATATTTTTTTTAAAAAATAAAAGATTTGTGTTCCGGATGGCTTGTTTTGAGAAAAAAATATGCTTCAACTGAGATCTACATGATGTAGTAAATAAAAACAGGTATGAAAATCCCTTGAACTAAGTTTCACTGGATTAACACATCCAATCAATTCTCATTAATCCCAACAGTTAGGTTCTATCAAGTCACTTTGAATGCCAGAATTGGGGTACTGAGTCTTTGTTCCTTTGAGCCACTGCTCCTAGGGGAAACACAGGCTGAGGTTTCTATGAGCCTCTGGACAGGACATTTTTGTCAACCGATCAATACATAACTTTGTTTTATGCATGTTTCTGTTTAAAGACACCCTATTTAATAAATAGTGTTGATTTATTAATAACGATCTCACAGCCAACAGGACTGTACCTCATGTTGGATGAAGCTTATCTAACAAGGCACATATCAGCCTTTTTGTGCTTAGAAACATGAGACAGCACTTCAGGACTACAGGTGCGGGCCATTTTGAACAGCAAAATCTAAGTACAAAAATGCAAAAAATGTGGCAATCGGTAGACCACAAAGATGCATGTTTACGATAAGAGACCTGAAACAAGGCGCCAGAAATTCACCTAGTTCAACCTCAGCTGGGAGTGTATATGTTGGATGACTCCAATTTCTTACTGCTCTACACATGTCCATAAATAGATGTGTAAACACAGTGAATATTGATTCTGGGCTACAAATAAAGTTTAAAAGGAGGAAAATTCACCAGTATGGAATTTGTGAATAATGAGAGTCAACTATAAATATTAATCCCAAGCTTATAGTTTGCAATTCCTTTCATATATGTTGGAGTGTGTAGGAAACTAGGGCACTTATTTGACATAATTGGGACTCATGCTGGGATCCTCTATGAATGGCAAAATTAGCTTTGAGCTGGTGGATTCACTGATTGGATTGGTGAAGGGATTAGGATTAAGCAGTTCAAAGCCAAGGCCACTGCGTAATACACATCTTGTTTAGTTGGGAAAATACTAGAAGTTGGCTAACATAGCTGAAAGAAACCAGAATATCTCACCCCAAGATACCCTTCTTTGGCATATTTTGAGATGCCTATTCCGAAGGGCTGCAGATCACAAAAGTAGCTCTGAACAGCTGCCCTTTTGTGGGGGAGATTTGCATCTGTAGAGGAAATCCACATTAGTAAAATGAAGTAAACAACACATGCAAACAGACTTTCTCTGAGGACCTCTTATCTGGATCTAGAAAAGATTAACTCACAGGAAAAGGAGACTGAAGTCTGACAATATAAGGTTCTGACAGAGAAGCTTTTACCAGAAGCTCCTGTCTGTTCCTTCTGAGAGCTGCTACCTGAGAGGTTTCACCTGCCTAATGGTGTGCTAACCTACCCTGTGTTAGCCAGACAGACTCCATTTTCCTAAGAGCCACATAGGCTCCATCTTGACCTCTGCCTCACCCCTCCTGCTACTCCTCCCTTAAGTGCATACCTGGGTCTTGCTACTGTGCTGGGTCATGCTGTACTTAGAACTATAGAAACATATAACCTTTGTACCCATAGCCTGCTTGGCAAGCCCACTTGCCATTGTGAATGCCCCCCTTTATTGATTATATGACAAGTACAGAATACCATCCTTGGTAACCGGCAATCATGGGCACTGCTTGCGTATACCCTCCTTAAAAAATCAACAATCATGAGAACCTCCTGCCTCTTAGTTACCAGCCTCCTTATGTAACTTGCTTATTCTGCTTCTGTAAACTCTGCTTCTGCTAGGCTTCCCCTCCCCTACCTTAAACAAGGTATAAAAAGGAATCCAGCCCCTTCCTTGGGGCCAAGAGAATTTTGAGTGTTAGTCATCTCTCGGTCACCAGCTAATTAATAAAGGACTCGTGATTTAAACTCGAGCGTGGCGCTGTTCCATCTAACTCACTTGGGTCTAACAACAGGACCTTTTCACTCCCAGGCCTTTCCTCCTTTCTCCTTCCCGTACCCCTTCTTGCCACGTTCCAAGTCCCTATTCTTCCGGTCACCTCAGGATGGTATAAAAACTTCAGTCATCTAAGACCCTCTTTTGAGTCTCATTCTTTGTGTTTAACTCCCATGTCCACATACGTGTTAATATATGTGTCTACCTTTTCTCCTGTTAAGTGGTCTATTGTCACTTTATTTTATAAACTCAAATTATCAAACAAACATTCATTAGTGAGTAGGGAAGGAAATTCTGCTCTATCCTAGTGGTAGCGGACATTTTGAGGAGTATCTCCTCTCGCAATAGTCTCCTGTACCTGCCCAGTTACCCCTAATCACAGGGGATTTCTACCTGATAGGAAAGTAGATGGGTGGGCCCCTCACCGCTGAACCTGTATTTACATATTAATTCAGTCACTGCTTATTCAGAACCTACCATATGGGAAGCATTTTTCTCTCTAGATGATGGGAAGAGAGACATGAATAAGCTGCTCATGAAGCTGTATGGGGGATGGGTAACAAGTAAACTCATCAGTTTCCCATTGGTTGAAGTCCAATGAAAAGAAAAGTGAGGTGACTGACAGACAGCTAGTGGGGGAGAAGCCAGGCTCTTCTGGAAAAGGGGTTGGGGAATGCTGCTCTGAAGGAAGAGGAGCCTGTGGAATGGCACACCGGTCCAAGGGTGGAGCACAGCCAAGGGCAGGGAGGAGCCCAAGGGCATGGGGTGTGCCACAAAGACCTGGGTTTGCTCTGCTGCATGAACTAGGGAGCAGAAAGAGGAGATGGCATCGAGCCCAGGCCTTGCCTCTAGTGTTTCCTGAGAAACTGGATGCTGGTCTTTGGATTCAGTGAGAAACCTGGCAAGCTTATATATTTCTCTCTCCTTTTTCTTAACACACATCTGTCTAGTTTCTAATATTTGCAAACAACACTTCCTACCTAATAGAAAAGCCTATTGGTATAGTTAAATGGACACATTATCTTGGTTGGGAAAATAAACTTTAATTTTTTGAATATGACTTCATAAAATGAAGACGGTGTTCTGTGACTGCCACAACACTCTCTATATCAACAGCTCATTTAAAACTGTTTTCCAAATCTCTGCCAAGCCTGCAGCATACTTTACTCCAACCTGGAACAACTGGCCAGGGTAATATATTAGACTGTCATGTCTCTGAGGTGTTTAAACCAGAGCAACTCCATCTTGAATGGGGGCTGGGTAAAATAAGGCTGAGACCTGTTCCCAGACGGTTAAGGCATTCTAAGTCACAGGATGAGATGGGAGGTCGACACAAGATAGAGGTCATAAAGACCTTGCTAATAAAACAGGTTGCAGTAAAGATGCCAGCCATAAACCACCAAAACCAAGATGGCAGTGAAAGTGACCTCTGCTTGGCCTCACTGCTACACTCCCACCAGCACTGATAGTTTACAAATGCCATGCAACATTGGGAAGTACCCTATGAGGTCTGAAAAGGGGAGGCATGAACAATCTACCCCCTTGTTATGCATATAATCAAGAAATAACCATAAAACCCAGCAGTCTTCATGACTGCTCTGTGGAGTAGCCATTCTTTTATCCCTCTACTTTCTTAATAAATTTGCTTTCACTTTAGCCTATGGACTTGGCCTGAATTCTTTCTTGCATGAGATCCAAGAACCCTTTCTTGGGGCCGAGATTGGGACCCCTTTCCTCTAACACCTCTGCAGAGAGATGTATTTTGCTTTGGAGAATTTTAGAAAGTCAACAAAATATAAAATCTGATTTTAAAAATTGTACTAGATGAAAGCCCTCAGGGATCTCTCACCAAGTAAACTCAGGTCAGTGCCTGGGGTCAACCTTTCCCTGAGGTCACCGCAAGAAGTGTATTACTCCTAACAGAGGGGCCGGTCCTGTGACAAAGTGCAACTGATTAAAAAGTACTTATGTTGATATTGAAGGCTGCCAGGGATGCTTGCATCAAAAAGTTAGTTTTTACCCATCTTCACTTTCCTTTTTATTGCTGCTTGTTTTCTAAGGAACATATTGAGAGATACATTTGCAGGAACTTAGTGGAAAGACTGTGGGACACACAATGTTTACTAAATGTTGCTAAAGTAGGATGTTCTAGAACTCTACCTCTATGGGGCAAACACTATAAAGCACCTGCAAACCAAAAATAAAATTCTAGGCCCTGCCCCAATGGACTGAATGGACACTTCCTCTTGACCAAGAGGATTCCAAAAAAACCTGAAACACTGGTTCAGGCCATGATGGGAAGGTAGCACCAAACATGCCTCATTATATGCCGCTCTCTTTGGAATTCAGGGACAACTGACCAGTATTAACATTAAAACTGAGATCTTAAGACTGACCAAACAAACCCTTTGTAGCAATAACATACCAAATTCTAACTTGACTCTAGTATAGTATCACATGGCAAATAGCAGGTCCTGAAAGAAATACAAGTATTTTACACCAAAATATATTTCTTTGACATAATTTGAAATGGTCCTGCAAGGCTGTCTCTTGCGGAGTAAATTTACATTCTGTAGAGAATCTTCTTCCCTTTCCAGGGCTTTTTCTGATCCTGAAGAGATTAGCTGATAAGTCTAGCACCTTTTGAAGATCTGCATAGAAAACATTTGCTATCTGTTGCCTCTAAGGATGACCACCTATGTCTACATAGTAGGAACTTTGGTCTTCACAATTCCTTATCTAAACCAAGACACTCCTTTCTATTGATTCTAGATCTTTAGATAATAACTTAACTCTTAACCAACTGCCAATCAGAAAATCTTTGAATCCACCTGTACCCACTTTGAGTTCTCCCGCCTTTCCAGACCAAAACAATTGCACATCTTACACATATGGATTAATGTCTTATGTCTCCCTAAAATGTGTAAAACCAAGCCATAACCCAACCACCTTGGGCACATGTTCTCAGGACCGCCTGAGGCTGTGTTATGGGTCATAGTCCTCACATTTGGCTCAGAACAAATCTTCAAATATTTTACAGAGTTTGTTTTTTCATAGCACACCTCAGACCGCGGCTTTGCGTTCGAAAAGTGGAAATACTTTTCAAAGTACCTAGTGTAACCAAGTAATACTGCCCCAGGGGAAAAAATGCTGTTTTCTCAAGGACGCACATCTTTGCTGGTTTTTCTGAGGGTGTTGGAATTGCCACTGGCATCCAGTCATTCACCAAGTATTTAGAGCACCTCTTCTCCATCAAGCCTTAGTTTAGGTAAAAATATATGCATTTTCTGATTTTTTAAAAACCTCCTAGCTTTCCTTTTTGTCTACCACTACTCTTAAAGGCAATGAGAAGGTGCTGGAGAGAGGAATCTCCATATTGCAGGCATTTCCTATCAGGCATGGAATACCTCCTGCAACCTTCGCTGGACAAGACTAATAAAGAAAGGGGGGCTCAGGATGCAGGAAAACTCTCTGAAGATCCACAGCTGCAATGCTAAACAAAGGCTTTAAGACTTTCTAAGCCTGGTCCCTTTCTCAGTGCTTCTCAAACTATTGTATCAAAAGTTCTTTGTGGCTAGAAGACTGTGAAGTTAGAGTTTAGAGATGCAGTATGCTTTTCTTGTTGATTCCCTTCCTGTTTCCCCAGAGTAGCAGGGGGAAATACAAGCATCAGCAAGTTTCAGCTGCTCCAAGCACACAACACAGATCAACAGGAGAATGAATTTCTGCTCTTTTCAAACCCAAGTTTCTTTCCTGGCACTATTACTAACAGGACAAAGAAAGGAGAAAAAGTAAGTGTGCAAGAGTGTGATTCATTGTTTATACAAGTTGTAGCTTGCAGGGATATAAAACCAGTTCCACAGAAACTCTCAAGTGTATACATTATTTTAATCCTTTTCCTATGACTGAATTCTTTCCTCCAGACCTCATTCTCTTTAGTCTTTTTCTTTAGCACAAACCCCTTTTTCCTGCTCCTTCCCACATTTTCTCCCAAGATAGTGCTGGCTAGGCCTGGAGCCACTGTGACTCTGCACAAGTACTTTATTTGCATGCAGTTTCTCTCATTACAACAGTGTTAGTATGGAGAGGAGGTGAAGGAAGGAGGGAGCGGGAGCAATTTAACCTCATTCAGACTCTGCTCCTTCTGGTCAAACTTCAAGGTGTATTCATGACTGGATCACTTCTGTGCTCACAGTAGAAGTACTCTTTAATTTCAGGGTCTTTCTATTATTTCTGTCACCAGATGGTCTTCATGACCTCTGCATATGGTCCTTGAAGTGGATCAGAATATGCCATCCAAAGTATGTCACTCTGCCATAAGGATTAGTTTGACTTGAGGCAACAGAGAAACAGCAGACACAGAAAGCAGCTCTCTGTCTTCCCCTTGTTTGTCTAACAGAGGGGCATAAATTTCCCTTTGCAAAGGTGGTCCCCCTACGTGCTCTCAGCAAGACTATAGGCTCTTATACCACCATAGGTGATACCGAGAGGAATATAAGTAACAAGCCCTACTAAAATAACCCCTGTCTTCCATTAGGTTCCCCGTATGTTGACCTTCCCACAATTTACTGTCCTAGAGTCTCAAAACCCTTTTTCTTTGTCTTCCTTTGTCTTGTCACTTCTCTAAAAATTTATTGCTGTTTTAAAATATGGTATATAAGCCTCTGGATCTGATTGTCTTTTTGGGGTTTTCACTTCATTTCCGTGAGGTCACCTCACAATGTATTTCAAGACTAGTACTTTATCCTGCAAATTCAGACAAACTTAGCATCTGTTCCTCAATACATCTGTCTGTGTGTTCGTTACGTGTATGTGAATTCACCTGTTGAAGTCTTCAAGTAAGGCTGATGCCCCAGAAGCTGTGTATTGTTTATATTCTAAACTTTATTACTGTGCACTCTGCTTAATAAGCCAAAGGGAGGACAACTTAACTTATACCATGCTGTCTTTCACCTTGACCCAAACCAACATAAAACAAAATGAAATTGGACTCTGTGAAATGTCCTTACAGATCACCTATCCAGCAGTATCAAAAATTTAGTCATGGACATTCTACCTGCATTGTCATTTTCTTTTTCTTTTCTTATGAATACTTTTCTTAAAACTAAAAGGAAGCTTTGTTCTATGATCATACATGGGAAATCAACA